TGGAACCTCCTGCCCCCCAAGCAGCACTTGGGGGGGCCTCTGCAGCTTCAGAGGGACAGGCTGGAATGCTTGGGAGGAGCCTGAAAACAAAAAGGAAGGACTGGGAGAACAAACAGGACCCCACTCACCAGAAAGGGTAAATGCCCAACCGTGTCACGATGAACACGACCCCGAAGAGCATGAAGAAAGCATCACACACCCGCTGGTACTTGGCATAGTTGGCCAGCTTTGCAGCCTAAAAGAGGCAAGGAACACAGGAATATTATTCCCTTTGTGCACCCCTGTAAGTACCAGGCTGGAGAGCTTCAAAAAACTCCCAGTCACATTCGCACGGTTTGGAACAATTAGGGATTATTATAGTGTGTAATTACTATTGTTATTTGTTATTATATAGGATCCTATGGGGAGAGATTATTTACAAGGGCCCTGGGGTGACAGGGCAAGGGGAAATGGCTTCCCATTGACAGAGGGAAGATGGATATTGGGAAGGAATTCCTCCCTGTGAGGGCGGTGAGACCCTGGAATGGATTTCCCAGAGAAGCTGTGGCTGCCCCATCCCTGCAAGTGTCCAGTGCCAGGCTGGACAGGGCTTGGAGCAGCCCAGCCTGGTGGAACTGGATGATCCCTGAGGTTCCTCCCCATCCAAACCACTCCAGAATTCTGTGCTCCTCAGCACTGAGGCAGCCAGGAGGAAAAGCTGGCGGGGCGGGAGCAGCAGCACGGGTTCCAGGGCACATTTAACTCCTTTTATCAGGAATGGGGGGAATGTGGGAACGTCAGCCTGTCCCCCTGGGATCACAGCAGCACTCTGACAGGGAACTCACCTCTAGGAGGAAATCTGAGGCATCGTGGAGACACAGCACCAGGGTCCCAACCCGCACCATGTTGTTCATGTAGGAGAAGGTGATGAGCCCAATCGTGGCCAAGTGATGGACAAACATGATCAGGAAGTCCTGGAAACAGGGAGGGGAAAAAAACCCAAAGATAAAGACCCTTTGGCTGTCGAAAAAAACCCACAAAGGTTTGGGACAGAGCCACCAAAGTGGGGTCACTGCTTCAGCCCGGGCTCTGACTCCACCTCACCACACACCCACCGTCACCACGGAGGATTCCAGAAGGGTCTCTCAGCTCTGGTGCTCCTGCAGGTACAGGGAGCACCCCCCTGGCCCTGTGCCTCTGGAACCCTCTGAAGTGACTGACAGGACACCACATGGCCCCTATTTTTGGCTCCTTTTGGTTTGCTCTTGGCTCCTGGCCCAGATCTCAGCGTTGCTGCTGCTGCCAGTGCTCCAACCCTGCCAGGGGCAGAGCGGGCACAGAGCACCAGATAACCCAGCAGGGAAGGAGGAGGCCTCTCCATCACAAAAAACCTCTCCAGTGCACAATATCCAGGGCTGTTCTCCAGCTCAGCCCCCGGGTACAGCCCTCCCGTGGCCCTGGGCCTCCCCCTGCTGCAGTGGGGAACGTGATGAGCTCGTTAAAATCCAAATTAAACATCATAAACACCG